AGAGCAGAGGTCTCTGAGCCAAATGTCCTTAGTCAGAATACCAGCTCCTCTGCCTACTAGCTGTTGAAATTTGAGCAAGTCTATGTGTCTCCATTTACTAATCTGTAAAATATGAGCAATAATCTACAAGCAAAGTTATGAGGGTTAGAAGAGATCAAACAAGCACGTAAAGTGCTTAGAACTATCTAGCATACACATATTTAGTGGTCAGTAATTGTTAACTATTTTCTGCATTGGGCTCATATGTCCAGGTGTGAATCCAGGAGGTGAAAAGTTTGCATTACACAAGGCCATCCTCTCTCTTGTGTCCAAGACAGTCTTTTTTGGCTGTGAATAACTTTTGTTGGCTCTGCAATCAGTGTCTTTCTCCCTGCAGAGCTAACTTTATGTCCAATGGATGCCTACCCAAGACTTAGTCTCCCTCGGTTTACAAGTTAGTGATGATGACCAAAAGAATGGAAAATTCTCTGATGAGGGGGAACATATAGTCATTCAAACAGCAATGAGCAATTGTCTCCCACATTTGCACAGGATTTAACAGAACTGAAGACTTGAAGGCTCCTGGAGTTGAAAAGGATCTTTACAAAAGAATGTTCCCTAGGCATTCTCTTTGTTTACAGAGGCCCAAACAAGAAAAAACAGATTGTGGTTAGACCCAGGGAAGACGTTTTTTAAAAATCACAGATGGAAAAAATGCTGGGCTGGGTTCCCAAAACAGGTTTTGTGCATATATGTTTATAATTGTTATCTCTTCCTGTTGAATTGCTTCCTTAACCAATATGTAATGACCTTTTCTCTTCTGATTAGATTTGGCTTGAAATCCATTTTGTCTGAAATTAGGATAGCTACTCCTGCTTTCTTAAGTTTACCATTGGATAGAATATTGTTTTCCAACCTTTGATTTTTAACCTGTGCTTTTATTTTTGTATTAAATCTACTTCTTGTATACTGTATATTGTTGGGTTTTGCTTTTTGATCCATTCTGCCAATTTGTGTCTTTTAATTGGGTAATTGAGACCATTCACTTTGAGAATTATTAGTGAAAAGTATTGACTTATTCCTGTCATTGAATTATTTTCCTGTTGTTGATATCCTTTATTTATTTATTTATTTATTTTTTACTCTTTTCTGTTTAACTGCTCACCTTGCCTAGTGTATTCATTCTACTAGATTTTCTGGTATTGTTGGCTTCATTGTTTCTTTCTAGGATATACTGAAAATTTTTTTTCAAGTGCTGGTTTGGTGGTCATAAATTTCTTGAGGTGTTTTTTTATCATGGAAATAAATTATTTCTCCATCAGTTTTACACTCCAAAAAGCCAAGAAGTGATTCTTCATCAATTTTATTTTATTTCATTTTTTTGGTACCAGGGACTGAACTCGGGTCCTTGCGCTTGCGCAGCAGGCAGCGAAACCACTGAGCTAAATCCCCCGCCGAAACATTTATTTATTTTCTTTTTTTCAGTATCGGGAATTGAACTCAGGACCTTGCACTTGTGAGGACTCTGAGTTTTCCTAGCCTTTAAGGTTTGTGTTGAAAACTCTGCAGTAATTCTAAAGGGTTTACCTTTATGAGCGATTCATTGTTTTTCTCTAACAGCTTCTAAGATTCTGTCCCTGTGTTGGACTTGTGAGATTTTGACTAGGATGTGACCTACTTACAGTATTTTTGTCAGCAAAACTCACACAAATCATAATCTGCTATTACCTTGAATCTATGGATAAACTCCTTAAAATGCCATGCAAGCCCTATCCTGTCAGAAATTGTGCTAAGTCTGACCTTGTCCCTAGTCTAACCTTAGCACCTCTACTTCTTTCCTCAACCCTTAAAACCTAAGTGTATTGGGCTGGAGGTGTAGCTCACTGGTAGAGCACTTACCTAGCATGACTCCTACATACACAAGTCTAAGAGTACTAAAATTACTTGTAATTTATCAAAAAGAAAATGATGATTACCCCCTCTATGTGCCTTTGCCTATGTCTAGAATACCTGATATGCCTTATTCATTTCTTTTTCTTTTTTTTTTTTTTTTGGAGGCAGGATCTCACTATGTAGTTCAGGCTGATTTTGGACTCATTATGTAGCCCAGGCTGGCCTCAAGTTCATGGTGATCCTCCTGGCTCAGCCTCCCAAGTCTGGGACTACAGGTGAGTGCCACCATGTGCCACTACATCTTATTCATTTGTAAAACTCTTTTTCTACATGAGATGGATAATTCAAGTCATCACTTCTTCTAAGAAGTCTTTCTTGATCCCTTAGTCTGGGTTAAGGTCCTCCCTAAGCAAGCACATGGCTTCCTGTATATATTTCTTACATCACTTAACCTCAAAGCTCCCAGGGTTACAAGTGAACCCTTCATAGGCCAGAACTTGTATCTTTCACCTTTGTAATTCCTATAAAAGAAGTTCCAGAAATATTTGTTAATCTAAACATTTCTTTCTTCTGAATCATTTTCTTTGTTTAGTCAGTTTGTAAAATAGTTGCTTTTCTTACCCATCCATCGCCATCTGATTTTTGTCCCTCTTCTCCTTAAAGACGTGACACTAGTTTCTTTTTCTTTCTTGCTTGCTGTGTAGCTCAGGCTGGCCCTGAACTCACTATGTAGTCCAGGCTGGTCTCAAACTTGTGGTCCTCAGCCTTGTCCAGCCTCAGCCTCCTGGGTACTGGAACTACAGGCATGCACCACCATGCCCAGTGCATTACCACTAATTTCTGAAGAACAGTCAACCCCCAAAAAATCAGAGCCAAGAGACAGAAAAACAGATAGAAGAGACAAATGTCTTACAATGCCTGGTGATCAGTCTGCCATTAACCCTACTTGCCAGCCACCATCACAACAGGAGTGACATCTCAGTAATTCAGCAATGGAAGTTAGCAAGATACAAGCAGAAGGGATGAAATGGGAGCAAATGGGGATTTAGCTCAGCCTGCCTCACAAGTGCAACGTCCTGAGTTCCATCCCCAGTACCAAAAAAAAGAAAGAGAAAGATTCCATCCCTCAAAGAAGGAATAAAGGAAAGCACTTGGATAGGCAAAAATTATCATAATCCACTGTGAGCAGTATGCCTAGAATCCCCTTGCTCCCCTCAACCAACAAGCACCTGCTCATGCTTCATGATCTATCCCCAAATACACCACCACTGACTCCTCATAGTAAAAGTTGTTTCTCCTTCAAAGTTCTTTGTAATATTCTGTCAGTTTATGTTCAACAGCAGGTAGGCCTGGATTGAAATTCTAGCTTTGTTACTATTTTGCCATGTAGCCTCTTTGAAGTTGATATCTTATCATGTTTTTGTTTCTTTGTAATTCATCCAATTTTTTTTTTTTTTTTGTGCCAGGGATTGAACCAAGGGCTTCATGTATGGAAGGCAAGCACTCTACCACTGAGCTATGCCCTCAGCCCCATAACTCCTTCCCTCCCTCCCTTCCTTCTTTCCTTCCTTCCTTCCTTCCTTCCCTCCTTCCTTCCTGTATTTATACCAAGGATGAACTCAGGACTTTCACACTGAGCTACATCTCCAGCCCCTTTTTTAAACTTTTTATTTGAGACAGGACCTCTCTAAGCTGCTAAGTTGCCCAGGCTGGGCTGAACTTGTGATCCTCCTGCCTCTGTATCCCAGAGTGCTGAGACCACAGATGTGTGCCATCACACCTGGCTGATTCCTTATTTTTTTTTGGTACCAGGGATCGAACTCGGCTCCTTGTGCTTGTGAGGCAGGTGGCAAAACCACTGAGCTAAATCCCTGGCCCCTGATTCCTTATCTTTAAAATGAGGATACCACTATCAACTTTAAAGGACTATTGCTGGGTTTAAAGACGTCAATATAAAGCAAATGACATATTTTAGGCACTCAAATAATGTTGATTTTTTTTTTATTTTTTATTTTTGGTACCAGGAATTGAACTCAGGGACTCGCACTTGCCAGGCAGACACCAATGTTAATCTTGCTGTCTTCCTCTTGCCCCATGCTACGTTGGAATAAACTCTTAGAAGAATTAAATTTTTACTTTTATGTTCTCCACGCCTAGGTAGAACTTAGTGTGTATTTGATTTATAATACATGTTTGACAACTGATAAATATAGAGGAGATATTGTGCTGATGGAAAAAACAAAAACCTACCTTCTTGTAGGTTTAGTTGTATGTAGGACTTTCTTACCTGGTAAACTATAAATTCTCTGAGAATAAGGTCATATTGGGCAAATCTCTGCATTGTCTCTACCATTGCCACGACTTACCTAAAGGGCTTTCCTGGTGAGATTTTTGTTTGTTTTTTTTAATTCATGATCTTCCTGCCTTAGCACACCTTTTTGGGGGGTACTGGGGATCAAACTTAGTCTTTGAGACAGTCTCACTGACTTGCCCAGGCTAGGCTCAAATGTGCAATTCTTCCACCTCAGCCTTGTGAGTAGCTGGGATTATAGGTACACTCAGCTTGTTGAGAATTTTAAAAAAAACAAAAACACACACATGAGCTGGGTATAGTAGTGCATACCTGGAATCCCAGCTACCTGGAAGCCTAAGGCAAAAGAATTATGAGTTCAAGACCAGTCTTGGCAATATAGTGAGATCTTCTAAGTTTGTATAAATAAAAACAGAAAGAAACAGACAGACATAAGACTGGAGAACCCCAAGTTGGGTACATTTGAATTGGTTCTCTTCTGGAGAACTTATTCTTATGAATAATGGCCAAAATGCCCTTTTGGGACTTCACATTTTTTTCTTAAGGCATCTCTTACATAGATTGCTCCAGTAAGAGCTGTACCAGGAAACCTGATGAATCTTACAAAAATTTTCATATGTGAAACGTTGCTGAAATGGTCTTCTAAAATTCTCAAATAGCAATTCCTAAAATAAGGAGATCCAAGAGTTATAAACACAAAATTTTTCCATTTTTCTTCTTCATCAAGTTTCTCAAATTGAGGAAACTGCTTTTAAAAAGCAACCGTGTATGCTGCCTTCCACCGTGTTCCATAGTTATTAGATAACTGACAAGAAAAACAACTTTTGGCACAAGATTGCCAATTTATTCTTTTTTTGGGACACATGAACACAAAATATCCCTGCAGGCCAAAAAAATTGCAAAATTTAAACAACCATTATCTTATCATGGGGATACATTCCCTCCCTTAATAGCTTATAAAGTACCTCGTATTGCTAGAGACATACATCCAGTCCAAATTTAATAAAATACATTTTAAAACGTTACAAGTCTAACGGTATAGAAACAAAAATCACACCATTAGTCAAATGAACAAATGCAAACATTTTCAGCCACTAGACATAGAAAGAGCATGAATATGTCAATAGCAAGGGATAAGAAAATGGTTAATCAATAAGATTTTTCCTTTAACTTTACAAGGAAAAATTCTTGGAGTTGAAGCAGTATTGATACAATGCCCTTAGCCTCCACTTTCTTAAAATGAAAGCAGAGCTACCACTTTGTTATTGAGCATGAAAATCTTACAGCACATCCACAAAGGGCTGATGGGGCAGGGTGGAGAGGGTGAACCTTGTAAAACAGTGGATTACCTTTTCCCATGGGGATGGAGTGAGCCAGGTAGATAAGCTCTGAAATAGGCTGGGCACCAGATCCTTAAGTACAGACCATATAGAACATGCCTGCTTATAAATCATTACCTTTGGAAGCAGCAAATAGAATTTACAGTAAGAATGAGTGTGTTCTGTCTGCCCAGAACTCTGGCTGCATTAAGCCAGCTGGTTCGTTTTATAAACCACTCAGGATTCAACAGCTAACAACAACAACAAAACAAAATTGGTTCAACATTTGTGTCTTCACCACTCTTTTAATGTCCCACTCCTTATCCCCAAACTGTTACTCTTTAGCATTGCTACATTTAAATCTTTCACACCACATGACAGTGCCTAAACAGGCTGTATTTAAAAAAAAACAACAAAAAAACCCAGCCTAACACTACTTCTACAGAATGCACACCTCCCATTGATTGACACATGCATAACGATTTAGTTTTGAAGGGGTTAACTATTAGAATTGTCAAGCCAAATTAAATTAAAACTATGCTCTCAGACTCGCTTGCAATAATATTGCGGCACCTCTGTGCAGTGATTACCCCTTAAAGACTCACCCCTCCACAAGTTTTTTTCCCCAATAATCCTACTTCTATATTTCTTTCCTTTTGTCCAAAATGACGGCATTGCACCCTTGATGGGACTGTTTTCCTATAAAAATAGGCCTCCCGGCTTTTCTTCCACCACCATGTTGATTGGCCCCTGTGTACTATGGCTGACTGAGGTCTTACAAACAGTATAGTTTAAGGTCGAGCATAGAGTCCAACTGCAGGCAAGCAGATCAGGGGTCCTGGGCACTTGGCTCTGCCTCTGCTCCATGAATCCCAGGACATGGTGAGAGCTTCTTCTGTGCAGTACCAACAAATGAACCCGAGGCACTCAAGTGCAGGTGTAGTGCCCGCCAGCTGGCCAGCCAGCTGCCAGAGTTCTTCACATCTTGGACTCCAGAGAGTCCTCCTCCTCCTCCAAGGCTTGTTTTTTCTCTTCTTGAGTCCAGAGCGGCCATGCTGAAGGGTATTTTCTGTGCTCTCCCTGAACAAGTGTGAATAAAAGCAGCAGCCAGCTCCTCACCAACATGTCCTGATTTGTATTATCCAAGTGAGGTATTTGCGAAAAAGGAAAATCTTAAGATATTAACATCTTCCATCACTTCACTCCTGCCTATGTTGTGCTTCAGTCACAGAACTTGCTTTCTTCCCACCATCTGCAGAGATTAAGGACGTCTGTACTCATCACAATGAGCTATAGGACTTGATAGACATTATAAAATTCTCAGAGACCAGTCTCAGCAAACACTGGTGGCGTCGCTGAGTAACAGCACATGAAAATGTAAACTTCAGTGTATTTACAAGCTTGCTTAAAAGACTGAAGAAAAACAGTGCTTTATATTGCTGGGATTTCGAGAAGGCTACTTTAAGAGACCTGGACCAACTAATGAGTTCAAGCAAATGCCCTTCATCATCTGATCCAGTGTTTCCCAGCAGCAGTTTCTAGACAGAGGTGGCAAAATTGTTTTTACCACATTGTGTCTGTCTTTTCCTTCCCCCAGCACCTTCATAGTCGGCCATATGAAGTGTGGCTCTGGGTCCTTTATCTCTCACTCCTGCCATTCCAGGATAGAGAATAACAGTACAATCAGTAAAATGTGGAGTGGGAAATGCTGGCTGGACCTACCAAGACTCTATGTAATCGTTGTCCATTACAAAGTATTATCTACACTAAATACAGAATACATTTCCCCCTACATTTTAACTGATGCTTGCTTCAGACAACTCCTTTTGTTTGGACAAGAAAGGAATCCTGTCTCCCTATGAGTGGAACCCAGAATCTATTAAGAAAAATCAACCATTTCTACACAGTTTTAGGTGAATAAAAGGAAGGAAAACCCATCATCTCTTTCAGTTTGAAAGACAAGAAAAAACATTGCACTGCAAATAATTGTGTGTGTAATCTTGATTCCCAGGAAAAAATTTTTAAATGCTGGTACATTTTTGCAAGTGCAGCATCACTCAATGTGCCTTTAAAGACTGGTAATGCCTATCCAATAAGAAAGTATCCTAGTTCTAGCTTATTCTACAACAAAGTGACAGGACACCAACTGTGACAATAAGATTAGTAAAAACAATTCTTTAAAAAGGCATGGAAATATATGTCTTTTCTGATTGGTTTCAGAAATTGCCAGATTATGATATATAAGAAATAGCTGATAAAATCATACCAAAATCTTATCTAGAAAACTTCATCATCGGGGGAGGAAAAGGAGGGACCTTAAAAAATGCTTATTGCCAAAGTTAACTTTCTATGAGAAAAGTTTTAAAATGATTTAGATCTAACAAACCACACAGCAGCATAAAATGGGCATTTTTGAAAACTTGCAAAAATACTAAAAGCTAATTTTTTTTTCCAAAGAGGGAGAAACATGAGTACTTTGACCATGGCAGTGTTACCTGTCACTGTGACATGCAATACATATGTTTATGTCACACATTCACAAAAGTCAACCAAATAAGAGAATTGCTTGTTTGAATCTGCAGCCATATATAGTGCAATTGCCTGGCAGCCTGTACTTGCACCAGCACAAGTCTGCAGAGATCAGTAAGATAAAGTAGTAAAACCAATAAACTCTTTAAAACTTTCAAAAATTAATGCTCATTAAAGGCATTTACAGTGGCGAAGTCAGAAATCTCCATTAAAAAGTTTATGGCCCCACCCAACTAAATAGTTACACTGAACTGAAGTAGATTGGTTTTTCTTTCTCACTTATGCACACACTCCACTCAATGAACACAGAAAGAAGGAATACTCTTTCTTATAAGACTAGAGGGATACGGTGAACACCACAACTAGCAAAATAATCCATAGAAACCTTTCTTGTTAAGTCCTTTAGAAAGTTCAGGCTGATCAGCCTTTGCACGTTGAGGTAAAAATTCTGTCCAGTGCATCAGAAAAGATAATCTATGAGTATCTACTACTTTTAAAAAATGGCTCAATTTTGTTGATGCATCAGACAGTGCTGGAAAGTATAGATTCAGTGCAACTATTCTGAGCTGCTGGTAGAAGACCACCTGAAGTCAACTTGGCTCTAACTAGAGGTGGTAGGCATTTGAAACATTTTGAGGCTGTGTGGGGTGCCAAACTGGTTGAGTTCCTTTTCTGAGATTCTCAGGCAAAATACATTGTGTGTTGGGTATCATGGTGGATTTGCACAGCCTTAGCCAAGGCCTGAGGATCTCGGCCGTTGCTCTGTCCTGACACATGACTGCCTTCCGCACTGAAATGAGAATAAAGCAAAAAAACAAGTGTTAACACAAGACTGCTTCACACTTCCCAAGTTTGAATTAGCACAAATAGTATTGTTTCAAGATGTTAGGCTTAAGCCTGGACCCCATTAATAGTTTATGTCTCACTACACATTAATTTGCTCAATTGAAAAATGCAATACAATTATTTAATGTGTGGTTATAAGAATGAAATAAAATAACATCTGCAAAGACCCAAATCTTTAATAGTACCTATGTAAGGATTTCCACTGCCCATTATATCTGGTTAATTACTACTAATCCTTTAGGCTTCAGTTAATGGTCACTTTCCCCATAGTAATATTTCCTGCCTCTAGATCAGGGTCACCTGGAACATGCTTTCTCAGAATTCTCTATTTTTCTTTCAGAACACTAAACATATTTGAAATGAAATTATTAATTGAGTAATTATTTATTTATCTACTAGAATAAGTTAAACCCCAAGAAAGCAGCAAATTTGTCCATCTTGCCACTGTATCCCTAGTGCCAAGTACACAAAATAGTTTTAATAATCATTTGTTTTTCTTCTGGGGTTTTTTGGTTTTTTTTTTGGAGACAGGGTCTCACTATGTAGTTCAGGCTGGCCTTGAACTCATTATGAACCTCAGGCTGAACTCGAATTTACAGTAATCCTCTGCCTCAGCCTCCTGAGTGCTGGGATTAGAAGTGTGAGCTACCTCGCCCGACTAATAACCATTTGTTGAATAAATGAATTTATGTGCCTAGCACAGTACCGGAACAGAGTACTCAATAAATGTTACTGTACCACCAGTCTCTTCTTGCTTTCCCTTCACTAGCTATGCAACCCTGGACAATCAGCTACTCTGAACTTTGGTGTTTTGGTTTGACAACTTCTAAATATATTTCTTAAGAGTACCATGTGATATAAAAAGCTTGGCAAACTGTAAATCACCCCCCTATATAAATATGACTTTTCATTTGTCATTATTAGAAAATCTGAATTTTAAACAAATTCTTGGACCAGTGGTTCATATCCATCAGCTTGCTTGATTTTAGCACCTGTCTTGTCCCCAGTAGCTTTTCCAGAACTACTGCTTCACCATGAAGCTCTGTGAATTTTCCCAATTCAAATATGGGTTTCCTCAGTATTTTTATTTTTCTAACCAAGACATCATGAAGAAGATAGACTGGAAAGCTTTTTATATGTCTTTTCCAATGCTGTCTGAAATTAGTTTATTGACTATGTCTTTCAAGTCATTGATCTGTATTTCTCGGGCCATGATTTCCATCATCACCTTCTTGATTTGGTGGACCTACTGGTGCTGGGCATCAGAGGTCTTCCATATCTGAGTGCTGTACTTCTTAGTAAAATCAACATAGAACAGGGCCGGGGATTTAGCTCAGTGGTTCTGCTGCCTGCTTTGCAAGCGCAAGGTCCCAAGTTCGATCCCCAGTACCAAAACAAACAAATAGAACAGATGAACCATGAATTCACAGAACTAATAACTATCAGTAGTCTTGACATCAACATGAACTTCAATCACAATCTGCCTTTTTTTTGTTTAACCATGGAACACACTTTGTCATGGGTGAGATCCATACCATGGAAGTTAGGCAGTTTTACTCAGAACATCCTCAGTAGTTAGTTTGAATTTTCTAAATGTAACTTCATCATTCTGCAGATCAGCAAAGCTCACTTTAGACATACAACTCTTGAGGCAATCGGATGGAATTTGGATTCCTTGAGTCCTTGTATCTAGTGTTGTTCCAATAGTTCTTACACTGAACATAGTAGTGCTTTTACATCCTATCAATGTTAGAAAATGGATCAACCACTTTCTTCTTGACCTCTCTCTCTCTCTCTCTCTCTCTCTCTCAGTACTGGGGATTGAACCCAAGATCATCACACTGAGCTACATGCCTAACCCAGCCCCTTCTTTATCTTTTATTTTGAGACATGGTCTCCCTAAGTCACTAAGTTGCACAGCTGGGTTCAACCTTGCAATCCTCCTGCCTCAATCCTTGCTGCTGACTTTTTGCTGCCTTTTGTAAGGTACTTGTTCTTGTCAACTGCTTGGTGCTGCTGACAGCCAAAAGGCTCATCCTCCTTCTTTTAAAGATTATTACTATCTGTATCATCTAGGTTCAAAATCTTAGTCATCGGGCTGGGGATTTAGCTCAGTGGTTCCGGCGCCTGCCGCGCAAGCGCAAGGTCCTGAGTTTCATCCCCAGTACCAAAAAAACCCCACAAAAAACCCAAAATCTTGGTCATCTTTTATTTCATCCTCCTCTTTGCCACTCACACTCAATTAACTATTAAGTCCTGTCTCTTCTATCCCAAGAATAAGTTGTTGTTGTTGTTGTTTTATGGTACTTCACACTAAGCTACATCCCCAGCCCTATTTTAATTTTTTATTTTGAGACAGGGTCTGGCTAAGTCACTAAATTGCCTGGACTGGGCTCAAACTTGTGATCTTTCTGTCTCAGCCTCCCAGAGTGATGGGTTTACAAGTGTGTGCCATCACTTTTTTCTGGAACCGGGGATAGAACTCAGGTCCTTGTGCTTACAAGGCAAGCAGCGGAACCACTGAGCTAAATCCCCGGCCCCGGTGCCATCACTTTTTACATTTAACAAAAACAATCAATCTAAAATACATTTCTGGCCTCATGCCTAAAATGTTCCTTTTAATATGCTCCAGCCAAAGAAAACTTGCTATTGTCCAAACATGTCACTTGCTTTCTCTCTTTTTTTTTTTGTCCATTGTTGTCTCTGCCTGGAAATCCTTCTCTTTTCTTTGTAGAGCCAAATCCTACCCAACCAGGTATAAAATCTCTCACTGTATTTTTATCTATACTGACTTGAGCTCTAGTCAGTTCTATATTTGGTTGTATTATCTCATACTGAACCATAAAAATCCCCATCGACTGGAAACATACATTAACTCATCCTGGTATCTCTAGCACATAGCACACTGCTGGGCACACAATCAATACATAATTAATGTGTTAAATGAATGAATGTATATTACAGAATGGAAGGTACTAAGCCACAGCTGGGCATTTTTTATAATGGTATATTTCTAACTCTTACAGAAATAGACTTGCAGTGGAATGTCTACTATGTAGCTGCTGAATTCAGACTTGGGGAAGAGCCCAGAAATGGCTATACTTCACAGATAGTCATTTAGAAAAGAAAATTAATGTGAAGAGCTTGTTTAGCTACTTAATAGTAGATCAGTAACAGTTCAAAATGTTTGATTCTTTTGAGATCCCTATTTAGAGGTAAGAATGGTCTGGCCCTCCTCCCACACAAACACCCAGGTTCACTCTGGTGAACTCTTATGGACTGTACTGAAAGCCACGTGAACCAGTCAGAACTCTCCCTGGCACGAATTGGAGTCCACAGGCCTACAACTGCTATGATTGTGTTGACCACCTTTTGAGGCTACTCAGGACCTGAACAGAACTGAAATGCATTTGGCTCTATGGGAAAACCATAAGCAGCTACAAATTAGACTTCTTTTGAGACACAATACAAGTATAAACAAGCCTGACCACTTCTTGGACCAAAAGTCACATTATAAGCTCTAAGACTCATGCAATTTTATTTGCTCCTTGCAATTTTAACCCTAAAAATAAGTTTCTATCTTGAAAAGAGTTTTCTGTAGAAGCTCATTTTTTTTTTAAACATGCTGGTAAAATAAAAAGAGGCTTTATTGTGTCTAAGAAACTTGCCTGTCATGATCTTTATCCACCAGATGATACCTCGCCCTGAATGCCACAAGCCGGGCATAATATGCAGGGGCTGGAATAGAGACTGAGCGTGTGCACCTCACATAGGTGTGACACAGCTGGTAAGTCAGTAGCTGGAGCTCATCTGCAGTGAAGCAGTTGTCATCCCATAAGACCTGGTAATGTGAAGGACGGCTGGTTCCCTGGAGAGAGTTTTAGGATTAAAATATTTCATTTGTTTACTTGTTTGTCTGTATTTTGAGACAAGGTCTCTCTATGTAGTGCCTGCTGGCCTTGAACTCACTATGTAGCCCAGGGTGGCCTCAAATTCACAGTGATCCTCCTGCCTCAGTTTCCCAGTGCTGGGATTACAGGATTACAAGTGTGCACCAAGGGGCTGGGGATTTAGCTCAGTGGCACCGCGCCTGCCCCCAAGCACAAGGTCGTGAGTTCAATCCCTGGTACCAAAAAAATAAATAAAAAATAAAAGATGGTTCCTCAATAGGAGTACAAATATTAGTCTCACTTACAACTGGAGTGTCAAAAATAATTCTTGGGGTCAGGGATTTAGCTCAGTGGTTCCAGCGCTGGCCTTGAAAGTGCAAGGTCCTGAGTTCGATCCCCGGTACCAAAAAAAAATCAAACAAACAAGTGTGCACCACCATGGCTGGCTGGCAGGATTAAAATAACATGGGTTGACTATCTGAGAGGAGAACTGAAACCTAATCCTTAAGTCAGAAATGTTTCTATCACATCGATAAACAGATCCATAAACAAAAAGGTAACAGTTCTAGGATATAAGTATTAACAAAATTAAGTACAGTCTTTAATAACAAGTCTACTCAAACTAGTTGCTGAATTGGCAAATATCTCCTTATCAGATCAAAAATCTGGACCAGCTTCCAAATTACCTGAATTCCTGCATGACTACAGAGGTAAAAGTCAAACTCCGATGGATGTGTGATGGTGCTATCCACTGTAGTTCCCGCTGGTACATTACCACTTTTCCCCACCTATCCAAAAGAAAAGTAATTAATCATCAAAGTGCCAAGCTGTATACAAACCATCTTTTTCTCTGATATGTTAACTGCTAGCAAGTTGATAAACTGCTTTTAAGTAAAGTCCTGAAAACCAGTTTAATTCAAGATGCTGAATCCTGTGAAACTCTCCCTTTGCCAAAATATTTCATCCTAAAGTATTTTCTCAAATATCCTCCATAGTCTTTCTAGGGGAATCTAAGCAAAAAATTATTTTACCTGTGGCTTTGTGCAGCAGTGCTGGTATCTATTTATAGATAAGACACTGGTATGTTTACAAAAGGGCGAAAATAACATGTAAGTGCTAGAGAGTCAGTATTAGAGCACTTACCTAGCATGTACAAGACCCTGGGTTCAATTCCTAGCAACACACAAACACAGATACATACACACACACACACACACACACACACACACACACACACACACACATTTCCTGAAAGGGGGAGGGATCAGTTTTATTCCTTAGGAGAAAAAAAATATCCACACCTTTTAGTAAAAGAAGTCCTCCCTAGGGCCGGGGATTTAGCTCAGTGGTTTCGCCGCCTGCTGCACAAGTGCAAGGACCCGAGTTCGATCCCCGGTACCAAAAAAAAAAAAAAAGAAGTCCTCCCTACCCTGCACTGCCTGCCCAGTAATGGGGATCAAACCCAGATTCTTTGCACCGAGTTGCACCTTCCAGACCTTTTTTTTATTTTGAGACAGGGTCTGGCTAAGTCAGTAAGTTGCCCAGTTTGGGCTCAAATTACTGTCCTGCTTCAGCCTCCCAGAGTGCTGAGATTATAGATTTGTGACATCAGAGTTCGCTATTCTTAGTAAAAGTTAAGATGAAGGGGACAGGGATTTAGCTCATTGGTTATGCTGCCTGCCGCCTGCCTCACAGGCCCAAGGCCCGGAGTTTGATCCCCAGTACCAAAAAAAAAAAAAGTTAAGATGAAGGAATCTTTGAATTGGTTCACTAAGTTCAGCAAAACTATGCCTTTATGGAATCAATAAAAGAAGCTGTAAGCTCAGTGTGGTGGCACATGCCTGTAATCCTAGTACTTTGGTGGCTGATGGAGGAGGACTGCATGAGTTCAAGGCCAGCCTGAGCTACTTGGTAAGACCCTGTTTTAAAAAGAGAAAAAAAAAGTCACTAGCAAATGATTATCAGGAAGCAAACACTGAAATGGGGATTAAGAAACAAGTTTCAGATCTAGGCCTCGCTTCCCAGCTATACCTTAAACAAAGCATAATATCATTATACCTCAGCTGATCATCTATAATATTAGGTGATAATCTCTTGCACTAAGATTCTACAGTTCTTCAGTGGTAAAAATACTTGTAGGAGACCAGAGAGGGAAATTTCAGAAATGCATTTACAAGGAATGAAATTAAATCTTGCTATTTCATCATTCTGTTCTGCTATACAGCAGAGTTCAATACAAGGAAGTTTATTCAGCACAGAAGAATAAATCTGACAAGTGTTTATTTGGTTCCATTTTAATTATTGCTACATTTAGCTAAACATCATACAACAATGCATACAATAACTCTGAAGGTAGAAAAATCTCCTTCTATTAAATTCATATGTCAACTTGGATACCTAATTGAACCAGAGGAAGTGTAGAGTTATAGTAGTTCCCCCTTTTCCAAGGTTTTGCTTTCCACAGTTTCAGTTACCTGGAATCAACCAAGGTACAAAAATATTACTATAATGCAACAAGGAAATAAGATATTTTGAGAGCGGGGTGGGAAACTGACCACATTCATATTCCATATGCATATATGTGTATTTCAGTGTAGGGGCCCATTTTATTATTACTGCTGTTGACTTCTTTCTGTGCCCAATCTACTAATAAAACTTTATCACAGATACATATGCATAGGAAAAAAAAACATAGTATATATAGGGTTTAGTACTATGCAAGATTTCAGACATCCACTGGGGGCCCTTGGAACAAACTCACCATGGATGAGGGACCATTGTAATACTGATTCTAGCATTTTTTTCCCCAATGTGTGTTCTTTAAGAAGATTAGTTTTCTAGAATGTGTTTTATGGTCTAACTTGAGGAACAATGGGTTAAATGAAAGTTAAAAGGGGTTCACTTCGTAGTTCAGTGGTAGAGGGCTTATCTGGCGTGTGCAAGGCCCTAGGTTCAATCCCCAGCTCCATGAAAATAAAAAATACAATAAAGGCTTTTCTACTATAAAAATTTCCAGACCCTTTATTTGGCAATAGGATCTCTTTTTAAAAATTCTTAGAGCTGGGCATGGTGGTACATGCCTGTAAGCCTGACACTCTGAGAGGCTGAGGCAGGAGGATCACAAATTTGAGCCCAGCCTGGGCAACTTAGGGAGACTCTGCCTCCTAAAATAAAAAAATAAAAAAGGCCTAGGGGTATGGCTAGGGTAAAGGCCCTGGTTCCCCAGAGCAACAACAACAACTACAACAACAACAACAAAAGCCTCTTGGGCTCTATAGATAAAAGGCTAGGGCTGGGGATTTAGCTCAGTGGTTATGCCTGCCTTGCAAGCGCAAGGTCCCGAGTTTGATCCCCGGTACTGAAAAAAAAAAAAAAAAAAAAATAGATAAAAGGCTAAAGAGATGATGCCTTGGGAAACAGAGAATCCAAGCATGTTCAATTCAGCAGTTATTGCTTGCACATCCATGTGCTGGGCTATTCAGCAGATGTTGGGGGTGAAAGTCAGCATCAGAAGGAACTAATAAATCTTACTTCCTGCAGGCAATATATGAGGTAGGTGCTATAGTGCAGTGTAATGATAAGGACTTAGGGAAAACACTAGGAGGGAGGAAATCGCTGAACCACGTCTTACAAGATAAGGAGGAACTGAAAAGGGAAGCAGAATGAAGACTGAAAACACTCCAAATATCTTTACACCCAGGAACAGATAAGCAAACTATGGATCACCCATGTCATGAAATACCACTCAGTAATAAAAAAGAAAACATTGATATACACAATAATTTGGAAGAATCTCAAATATATATACTAGTAAAAGAAGCCAGATTCAAAGGCTACATGTTTCTATTTATATGACATTCTGGGAAAGGCAAAAATACAGGACAGAATTCATGAATGAATGGGGGCAGGAGGTAAGGAAAAGGATGATGTAAAATAGCGTGTGATGGTAGAATGTAACCCTAGTACTCTGGGAGGCTGATGCAGGAGGATTGCAAGTTTGCCAATTTAGCAACTTAGTGAGACCCTGTATCAAAATAAAAAATTAAAACAGAAAAGAGGAGTATAGGAAGATAGTTCAGTGTTGAGGCTCCCCAGTACCATACACACAAAAAATAAAAAATAAAAAGGGCTGGGAATGTAGCTTAGTGCAAGGCCCTGGGTTCAATTCTCGGTACTAAAAAAAACCAAACAAAACCAAAACAACAATTGAAAAACAAAACAACAACAATTTAAAAACCCCACAGTGCATATGGGAAATGTATGAGATCATGGTGAAAGAGGAAACAAAAATGTTGTTTTGGCTCAGTTGGGAAAAAGCTAAACAGGTTAAGAAGGTGTTTGGCAAGCAATAGAGGAATTCTTGAAGATTTGAGCTCTGGAATGATGTGATAAGATGTTTTAAGAACCTATCCCTGGGCGAGGGATTTAGCTCAGGGGTGCCGCTGCGCTGCCTGCATTGCAAGCGCAAGGTCCCAAGTTCTATCCCCGTTACAAAAAAAAAACAAAACCTATCCCTGACAGCAGAGTGGAGAATACATTTCTGGGGAAGGAAGAGTGGAGACAGAGAGTCTGCTAAGAGTCTCCTGATACAGATGAGTTCTGCCTCGGGCAGCAGGAACACATAAGAGGAAACACTGAGATGAAGAGGGATTTCAGGGCAGGATATAAGAGGACTATTTGACTAACTGGATATGGGGAACAAGAAGGAGGAAAAGAATTTAAACACAACTCTGAATTTTCCAGCTTGGCTGATTCAATACACCATGATGCCAAGTAACAGAATAAAAGGAAAATTGGGGGAGGAATAGGTTTTGGATGGGGATAAAACAGTAAGTGGAAGGTTTAGACGTGTTCTGCTTGAAATGCCTGTGGTAGATTGTATCACTGGTGCCAAATATTCCTATGCTGCTCCCTGGGGAAGGATTACACATCCCCACCCAATTATCTCAGAAGTGGCCATGTGACTTGCCTTGGCTGATAAAATGTGCCCTGAAGTGTGTTACTTCTGGGCAGAAGCTTTACGAGCTGATGCATGGTTTGTCATATATCTTTTCTCACCCCTACCACAATGCCTGGCAATGTTCCAGATAGTTGTGCCTCTGTTAGCCCAGGTGCCAGAAGGTGGACAACAGGGTCACAGCTGTGGTGGAGCCACAATGAATGTGTAATGTTAGCAAGAAATAAATCTCTGTAAACCACAAGGATTGGTTTCTTCTTGTTACCACTGCACAGTCTAGCCTGCCTTGACTGATACAATGCCTGCAGAGCATCTAAGTAAATACATTTGTGAGATAATTGGAAGTACATATCTGGAGCTGCATATAGTCCATGGATGGGGCTGGAAATATAGATTTACCAACTAATAAGCAAATAAACAAGCCCAGTAAAACAGAGGAGTTTAGAGAAAGTTTGGGACTTGGCCACTGGCTGAGTTGCAGAGCACTTACTTGGCTTGTGCAAGACCCGGGATCCAATCCCCAGTAAGGAAGGAAAGAAAGAAGGAAGGAAGGAAAGAAAAGAAAAGCTTTAACTAAGTCTGAAGACAGAAGAGAGGCAGCTGAGAAACTCGTGTCTTCCAGATCCTGTTTTATGGGGTATACAGAAGATAGTACTTTGCAATGAAGGAATCATGGACAGGATAGTGGGTAAGTTAAAAATCACAGCACCCAAGGGCTAGCTGAAATTTCCTATGCTGTTTTTACAATATGGTTCATGATTAAATAAATTTTTTTTCCACTAGTGACTCCTATCAGCCTAAGAGTAGAAGCAAAGGAAGAGGGCAAGTGGACTGATTCAGAATTGGAGATTTACAAGAGGTATGTTTAGGTGACTGGAGATGTAAGTAGAGGTCAGAGATACGAAATAAACCAAGAATTGGGACTATTTATATTTAAAGGTTACTAGTAACACTAGATTATAAAGAACAGAATTAAGAGACACTTTGGAGTTTTAGAAGGATAGTCTAAGTCCTAAAGCTACATGGATAGCAAGTTCAACAGGGGTGGACAGGTAACCATAGCAATCAAAGATGGGGGAGCAGGGGCTGGGGATTTAGCTCAGTGGTGCCGCTGCCTGCCTTGCAAGCACAAGGTCCTGAGTTTGATCCCCGGTACCAAAAAAAAAAAACCAAAAAAAGAGATGGGGGAGCAGGATATTTTATGTCTAGAGATCAAGTAAGAGTTCAGAGAATTTATATTAGCAAAGCCTAAGAAGTACTACTGAGTCAGAGTTTGGGCAATTTAGAAGACAACACTTCATCTAGGGTGATGGGTAGATCTGGGACCTATGGAGAAAAGAACTTTACCTCTTTTTTTTTTTTTTAGTGCCAGGGATCGAACTCAGATCCTTCCGCTTGCGCAGCAGGCAGCGAAACCACTGAGCCAAATCCCTGGCTGGGAACCTTACCTCTTTAATGATTCACAAACGAAAAGAAATAATATTCTTGATCTGGAGATGAAATACAAAGGGTGTACTAGAAAATACTGACAGTAGCCAACAAGATTTCCCGACCAGGTAACAGAAAGATCTGGTGTCCCTGGGAATGGAATGGATCAGGGAGGGCCTGGACAAGATAAAATAATGTTATAAAAATATCAAGGAAGCAAAGTTACCCAGCAATGGTGTATGCATATAGTTCCAGTATTTGGGAGGCAGAGGCAGAAGGATCGCTTGAAATCAATCAGCATAGGCAACACAAGACCCTCATCTCAAAAAAAAGGGCTGAGGATTTAGCTCAGTGGCTCTGCTGCCTGCCTTGCAAGCTCAAGGACCCGAGTTTGATCCCCCCCGTACAAAAAAACATCAAAACAAATGAAAGAATCTTCTGCACTGATATAAAATCACTTGGGAGAGAAATTCTTTATATCTTGCAACTGTAGATCAGGTATTAGCATAAAAAGTAGCAAAAATAAGTTTCACACAGATAACACTTCCTACCCTCTCCGTAAAAACAAAAAACAAAAAAACTAGTTTTTGCTTTTCTTTTTTTCTTTCTTTCTTTTGAGATAGGAGCTCAGTCTATAGGCCGGCCTTAAAGCTAGAATTACAGGCCTGCACCACCACACACTGATAGAAACTATCATTTCTGTGATAGAAAAGAAATCTAAGGGCTGGTTAAAAAAATGATGTGTTTAAATTTTTTTAAATGACTACAGTAAAAGATACATTGCCATTAATCACTCTTAAAATACTTCCAATATACTCATATTCATTCTTGGAACTTGTATCAGTCAGAATTGGTCATCTAAACTTAATAGCAGTTAGCATATTTATTAAGTTATGTTCTTCTACCTTTTTTTTTTGGTACTGGGGATCGAACTCAGGACTTTGCACTTGCAAGGCGGACTTGGTGCCACTGAGATAAATCCCCAGGCCTGTTCTACTTTTAGGGGAGAAAAATGTAAATATGCCCACTTAAAAAACATATTCAGTAGTGCAGCCCTATAATCCCAGTACTCAGAAGGCTGAGGCAGGAGGATCCAGAGTTTGAGGCTAATCTGGGCTACACACACCAGCCTATCTCAAAAAACAAACAAACAAACAAACAACAAAAAAACCCCAAGCAAACAACCAACCAAACACACTCAGGGCCTGGGGATGTAAATCATTGGTACACCAATAGGGTGTTTAGTATGCAGGAGGCTCTGGGTTCATTCCTCAGCACCAGAACAACAGCAAAAAACACAATCATTTGCCACAACATCAGATAATGAAACTTATACTATGTTTTTTTACCCTTTCTGTTTTATCTGCACAGAAGAGTCGGGTATGATGTCTCTTTTGCACCACAATGTATGTTATTCCTGGCCGATAATCTTCTTCCAAGCTAATACATGCCTTTCGAATTGCTATTAGTTCTGGCCAAGCTACCTAGGAGACAGAAATGGCATTACGTTTCACTGAGAACTCCACTAGCATCTCTCATATCTGATTTGCAGAATGGTAGAAGGCAGAAAGCTCCTTCAGCTTCCTAGAAGGCCCAAAGAGCATCACTGGGCTAAGGAGGCTACCTGCTTCATCTGTCCCTCAGAGACCCCTCCGCGGTAGTAGATGATGCGAGTGGGTTTGAAGCGCGTGGATTTGTAGAACTGGATTAGCAGCTCTCTAACCATGTTAGTCAGGTCCTGGATGACCTCCTGGCTGTAGAGGAGCTCCTGAGAGATCTCCTGCCGGGAAGTCTGTACTCGGACTGTGGCGCAGTACCGGCTGGGGTGCCCATCCATACTACCCACCACCGCAGCAATGGAGGGCTTCTTCCCATCCCCCGCTGGGGGGTGTGTGACGTCTGCCCCCAGGAAGATGACTGGCTGCTGGAACACTGAGGGCCTGTTCAGATTTAAGGACAGACACACTGCCATTCAGACACACACATGAAAATGCTGGGGTCTAAACAAAGTGTATCACCAGAGATTGACAGGTATAATATTAAAAGGGAGACTTTGACAATTGGAAAAGAGTACTAACAACTAAAACCCGAATTCTCTTTAAAATGAGACTTAAGAAGAAGATCAAGTCTACCTCTTTCCTGGATTTATTTTTCTCCATAGTATTTATCACTTAGGCAATATAAGTTACTTGTTTCTGTTGTTTATTAATTTTTTTTGGATACATATGCATGGATGTAAGTTTCTTACAAGGGTTGGAATTCTGTTCTACCTTGTCCTGGTCACTGCTACAACCCTATTGCCTAGAACACTGCTTAGCTCATACTTGGCACTCAATAAATATTTGTTGAAAGGATGAATTCATTTATTTGGCATTGATTTCTCTAAGAAATCAAGGAGAAAAATATCATGCATGCTTCTCTAGTCCAAAAAATGTGAAATAAAATGTGAAATTTTAAAAAATTCTTAAATGAGGATTTGAGACTGCAAGTATTATTTTTTATTTATTTATTTATTTTTGGTACCAGGATGAAACTCAGGACTTTGCACTTGCGAGGCAGGCATGGTGCCATTGAGCTATATCCCTGGCCCTGTAAGTATTAATTCTTACAGTATAATCTAGGTGGCATCTCAAATCTGCCAATCTCACAGGTACTAAGAGGAGATTCCACAAGGGCAGAGGCTGTGTCATGTTTATCTCTATATCACCACAAAACACAGTACAGAGAAATTAGTAATAGCAGACCTATATGCATGATTGGTCACTATAGTAAGTACCAGGTACTGTGCCAGGCATTCCTCATGTATTAACTTAGTGTTCATAACAATTCTATGAGAGTGGTAAAATTATATGTTTTCCAGATTTTAAAAATGACACATAAGAGAATAAAGAATGTTCCCAAAAGTACAAAGCTAGGAAGTGGTAATACCAGAATCCAAACCTAAGAAGTTGACACCAAAGTATGGACTCTAGGTCATCTTGTTATATTATCTCAAACGTTTGTGGTAAAATTAAATGACCCCAAAGGTGAACCTTCTCTGACTTGCATGCCTCATCACCAATGTTTCAGGAAGGATTTATTTACCTAGAAGTTTCATTCTAAGCCAAAAATGAGAACTATGATATGACTGTGTAAGAGTAAGACACTCAACTTCACCTTCTTCTCAAGGATGGCAATGACTGATACTAAATTTTAAAAATTTAACTTTTTGAATAACTCTCACCTGTAGAATTTCACATAAAAACAATATTTGAGAGTTGACAAAGTATGTAGTATTATCTTTTTTTTGGTACCAGGAATTGAACTCAGGACCTTGTGCTTCCCAGGCAGGCACTGTGCAGCTGAGCTACATTCCCAGCAGGTAATATTATCTTGACAGATAAGGAACTCAGGCCCAGAAATCTTAAAAATTCACATGGGCAGCAAAACATACTCTCCTAACTCTTGGTACTTTGCTTAGAATATCATTGCCATCTTCTGGTGTTTAGTTACTCTACAGTCAATCTGACAAATTCAAATTTAAACAAAAAGCATATGGGGCTAGCAGAAGCGGGGGAGTAAAGTTTCTTAACAGGACATAAAAAGACTGATTAAACTCAGACTTGGGCTGGGGATTTAGCTCAGCTCCACTGCGCCTGCCTTGTACCACAAGGTCCTGAGTTTTGGTCCTTGGTACCAAAAACAAACAAACAAACAAACAAAAAACTCAGTCTTATTAACATTAAGAAATTTTAGGGGGTGGGAATATAGCTCAGTGGTAGAGCGCTTGCCCTGGATTTGATCCCAAGAACCTCAGGAGAGTGAGAAAGAAAAGGGGGCGGGGTGGAAGATCTGTCCATTAAAATCTAGCATTTAGGACCGGGGATTTAGCTCAGTGGTTCTACCGCCTGCCCTGCAAGCGCAAGGACCCGAGTTCTATCTCTGGTACCAAAAAAAAAAATCTAGCATTTAGCAGAATGAAAAGACAAAACACAAAATAGGAAAAGATATTTTTAATACCTATATCCTTTCAAGGGTTTATTTCCAAAAACCACAAGGAACTACTACAAATTAATGAAAAAGATAACTCAATATTAAAAATAGGCAAAGAACGGGCTGGGGATTTAGCTCAGTGGTTCCGCTGCCTGCCTTGAAAGCGGAAGGTCTCGAGTTCAATCCCTGGTACCAAAAAAAAAAAAAATTCCTCCTTGGAGAGGCCAATCCTGATGGTCTGATGGGTGGGGTACTGAAAATGTTCTGTTTTTTAACAGTTTGGTTGGTACATGGGTGTATACACATATAAGAGATATATCAAGATGTATATTTGAGACATATATGCTTCACCATAAATTATATTAGATTTTAAACAAAAATGAAAAAAAACAACAACAACCCAGAATTTGGAACCTTACCTTTGATGAGGAACAAGCACGTTGTTGATTCCTCCAAGTTTTGCATTTATCTTCAGGCAAAGGTTGGAAAGGGTTTGGGGTGAAGTTTTCACTACATTTTTTACCTGGACACACTGTGTGGCCATACCTAGAAGAGTATCTCCAACACGTTTCACCTCAGCTACAAAAATAATCATTTTAAACAGTTAAATAGTCTCCTAATTATTAAGACCAAAGGAATAAAACCCCACACATTAACATTTACAGAGCATCTATTATATACTATAAATGGTATTAGATGCTTCTCATGTGTTAGTCCTTTCATCTGCTCAAACCCCAGGGCACTCTTCCCCCTCCCCCAACCATCTTTCACACCCCCCCTCCCCACCCGTGGATAGGTTCTCCCCCTTCTCCATTTTCCCCTTCCCACAGCCCTCAAAGCCAGCCTGCTTCCTTTCTTCTTTGGTGCTGCCTGCCACCACTTGCTCAGTCCCTTAAGGTCCCTTCCCCTACAAGACTGGTCTGGCAAAGGAAACAATTTCCCCACTCATACCAATCCTTTCAACTTTACTTTTTCCCCCTTTTCTCTAAATACTAAGGATAGAATGAACAAAAGAAGCAAATACAGAGAAGACTAAAGACGTGTTATAAAGTTTAAGGGCTGATCTACACCTCCCACAAACTATACTTAGGTGATAACCAAAAAAACTTTGTGTCACTCTTCTTGTAATAGATACAGACTAAGCAATCCTCTTCTTAGGGGCAAACTCCTCTGCTTATCTTCATTCTGATATCCTAAGTGTTTTTCACTAAACTTTGCAGTTCTTCCAGATTGCTGGATTATGGTAGGGTGGTATTGCCTTTCCTGCCCCTAGCCCCATTCTCCAGTAGCCTCTCTACAAGTTGGATAAGGTCATATAGCTGATTGTGGCCAGGAAGATGGAGAGGAAAAAGAAAGTTAGGGGCCAGCAACATTCTAACTAGTGGCTGCTCTGTCAAGCTGGGTACTGAAATAGGCATGATATGATGACATGGAGCAGAAGCTACCGTCTACATTCAATGGACACACAGCAGGAGCAAGAAATAAATCTTTATTTACTTTATTGTTGTTTAGTGTATATATATGGTGTATGTGTGTGGTGTTGGGGATTGAGCCAAGGTCCTTATAAATTTGGGCAAATACTCTACCACCAAGCTATACCTCCAACCACAATCTTTGTTGTTTTAAACCGCTGTGAATTTGGGGTGTTTGTGACGGTAGCATTATCTAGCTTACTCTGATTGCCACATCTATCATCCGAAATCATCCTTCATTCAGCATTAAAAAGGTCCATACCATACACTGGTGTCTTTCCAGGCAAGATAACCACTATTAGCTGTAGGCCCACATATGTCATCTTCAGATGTTTAAACATGGGCTCCACGCTGTCTGCGCCTTGTGCATACTTGCAGAAGCATGGCTGACCCTGGATGGGCATCCCTGCATCCTTGGAGATTTTACGCAGCTGGTCAGTGAAACTCCTGTTAAAGTAGAACCAGTGGTGCAGAACCTTTACTTCAGGGAACATTCATAAACCTCTAAAATCCTTTTTTTCAGTTCTGCAAATTCTTAACCAAAATTATAAACAAAACAGCAAAAAATCTTTAACTAGTTGCTAAAATAAACTGGAAGTGGTATCACTGCAATTATAACAGAGAAGAATCTGTATTAGTAAATTATCAGATTATCACTTTGGATTTTTACGTAAATATAGCTCAATATGGCTCCACTGGGCCCCAGGGGTAGAAGAGCATTCCTATTGAAAGATTTTTTAAAATATTCAAATCAGCAATTCTGTAGTACAGAAAAGAAGGTCAAAATTTCAGGTAACACACATTTTGGTAAGGCTGGTACAAGAAGAATTGGGTTAGCTTATGTTCAATTGAGAACACAGAAACATGCTATCTCAAAATCAGTGTAATTAGGATTGTAATCAAACTTGTAACAGATTTGGTGCCATAACAATATCAAGAGAAATCACTTAAAAGTTGAAATTAATTTTAATTTTTAAATTTTGGATTTAAGAAGTTGCTTCAATCTATGCATGAACCTTTCAGAATAATTTCTTTTGTGTATTTGCCAATTATCTTATAGGGTATCCTTTCTTTCATCCTAGTTTCCTTTTCTTAATTTTTCACCCTTTCTCATTAACTTCCTTTATAGACAACTGTATCTGTATGATGTGAACCAATACTCTTAGCCAGTGTTCTTATTTTCAAAAACTTAGTTTTTGGGCTGGGGATTTAGCTCAGTGATTCTGCCGCCTGTCTCGCAAGCAGAAGGACCCAAGTTCGATCCCCAGTACCAAAAAAAAAAACAAAACAAAAACTTAGTTTTTATCTTAGCTGGAAAGATACAATTAATACCAAAGGACGCTTTTACTAAAAACTCAAGAATTTGCCAAGTAGCATGGCTTCACCCTTGTTACTCACAAATCTCTGCTCTAAATGTACAGAAGCTGAATCAGATTTTTAATTGGTTTTTTTTGGTACCAGCGATCGAACTCGGGTCCCTGCGCTTGCGAGGCAGGCGGCGGAACCACTGAGCTAAATCCCTGGCCAGATTTTTAATGCAATTTCCAAGTTTGCAATTTCCTATAATGCAATATCTTTTGCATATAGCCAGATGGTATCACTATGGGAGGTGGGGATTTAGTGCCAGTATACGCAGCACATTAACATAAAGATGATATTTTCATATCTGAAGGGAAATTACTAAGCTGGAAACACAAAGATACTCACTTTAGTAAATCTTCCCTACATTGTTTCTGAGGTGCAAAACAAGCAACTGCCCAAACTTTAATTTCAATGCCAGCATAAAACTGCTTTCCTCGCATGTCCCAGACACCCTGGTTGGGTGTGGCTACTGTTTTATTCTTTAAAAAAAACAAAAGGAAACAAAAGAAAAAAGACATTACAATCTAAGGCCATCTTAATGTTGAGAAGGGAATAAACAAAATTCTAGTTGGTATAAGACAAAAACGTAGTAACGAGCACAAGTACAGGTAAATTCAATATCGTATAGCGGGAAAAGTGGATTATAATCTTTTGACTGGTGTGCAAAAAGCTTGCTGAGATAAATGAAAAGCTTACCCGGCCTCCATATTGCAGCATTGGTGCTGGAAGTACCCTGCCTGTGAGCTCTGTCATTTCATTGTGGACAACAATCCCAAATTCTTTAAGGTACGGATCAGGTCCACCCACCATGCTGTTACTCTTCACCTAAGGAACAGGAAAGCCTGCATATATAAAAACCAAAGAGTAACTGTATCCCATCAGGAATTCTCTATTCTCTTTTTTTTTTTTTTTTTCATTTTAGAACTGGCTAATCTTGAAGACCATTCCTTACTGACCAGTCTACTGATTTCTTCCTGCCTGTCAGGAGCAGATCTTGCTGTGGCTTTGATCATTGTGGATGTCTGATTGTCTGTGAGTTTCTTTATACATCGCTGCCCTGCCACTATATTACAGACCTGCCAAGAGACAAGGAGAAATTAGTGTGTATAGTACTGAGCTTCTATATTGTAAACATTTGCCAAACTCATACATCCTCCATTTCCAGAAAAATAAAAATTGTCATATGGTGAAGTTATCTGCTCACAATATTTTAGAAAAACTAAATTCTACTCTAGATTAGAACTCTACTTTCTTTTTTAACTAATTCAAGAGATTGTCAGATTGGCAAAAGAAAATTTAGCTTACCTCAAGTGGTAAGTATGTATGCTTTTGTTCTTGTCCCACTTGGAGACAGGGAAGATGGGGGTATTTCAGCTGCAGACTATACTTTTGCTTAAAATATTGAGCTACTGTACATTCCATAGCTTGACCATTTTCTAGCTGCAAAGGAAAACTATAGGAGAGAATGTCTTCTTAGAAATGTAAGATTTTTTTAAACAAATAAACAAAACCTACAATTTTTACTTTCAATAAGCATTTAAAAATCAAGTGGGGAAAGGAAAATGAAAAGAATTAAGATGTGTTTTGTACATATTTCAAGTCCCCATGATGAATGTAATCATTATGTGCATGTAGTCATAAAAATAAAAAATACTAGAAAAATAAAAATACTAAAGGTTGGGGCTAGAGGTGTGGCTCAGGGGCAGTTTGTCTGGTGACACCAAACAAACAAAAACAAAGGCCAGGCTTTATTTGAGTGCTTTCACTTAACCGATTTTAGTTTTGAACTAGACAACAATTTCACTGACATTTTCCATGTCTGTTTCTGAAGGTAGGGTGAGAAAATGTTTTCATTTAAATTTCAAAGGATGGGCCAGGGATTTAGCTCAGTGGTTCTGCCACCTGCCTCGCTAGCTCAAGGACCCAAGTTTAATCCCTGGTACCAAAAAAACAGAACAATAAATTTCAAAGGTTTTTGTTGTTTTGTTTTGTTTTTCGTAGTACTGAGGACTGAACTTAAGGCCTTTACATGGAGATAAATCTCCAGCTCCTTTTAGTTTTTATTTTGAGACAAGGTCTCACTAAATTGGTAAATTGGCCAGGCTGGGCTTGAACCTGTGAGTCCCATGCCTCAGACTCCCAGACTTCTCCCAGGATTACAGGCATGTGCCACTGTGCTCAGCTTCAAGAGAATTTTTTTTAAAAGAATATAAAACAACAAGAAGCTACAGAATTCATACATAAAAAGTTGAGATCAGTTAACATCTATAGACATAAATACAATCTCTTTCAGGTTTCTTTTTTTTTTCTGGTTTCCCATAGATGATTAAATTTAAATAGGGACTTGGTGTCAGGCACACAGGAGTTTTATTTCCTTAAGAAAAGTCATCATTAAATTAATGTATTAGTTATCGGGGCCACATTTTCAGATCCCTAAACCAGGACAAACAGATGTAGTTAGAGCCAATAAGACCAATATATGAAAATAAGATTGTGCCAGAAGCATGATTAAAGAAAATTTCTTTATTTGGCTCTTCCAGTGGGTAAATTATCTCAAATACTTAGCAAAATGATACACTGAGTCTTGCTTTCTTAACTGCTACAGATATACAAAGTAACAATGTAATGAGGATTATCTATGTGATACTTAAATCTATGTGCCTTAAATCTTTGAGCAAAGATTATATAGGTATGTAAATCTGAGGGCTGGGGATTTAGCTCAATGGTTCCACCGCCTGCCTCACAAGTGCAAGGACCCGAGTTCGATCTCTGGTACCAAAAATAAAAAGATAGAAGGTATGTAAGTCTAATTATTCTGATAGAATTATATAAATAATTTAATAAAGGGGAATAGTTTTTTCATTTGTTTGCTTTAGTGTTTTGAAGCAGAGTCTCACTATGTAGTTCAGGCTGTCCTTACACTCACTATATAGCCCAGGCTGACCTCACTGCAATCCTCCTGCTCAGCCTCCTGAGTGCTGGGATTATTGTACAGATGTGTGCCATCACACCAGGCTGAAAATTTCAACTTTCTACAACAGGTGATTTTGATATATACTAAAGTTTGAAAACTACAGAACCACAGATGTAAAACAAAGTCAGACAGAAAATAAGGGAGGCAGGGCCTGGGATTTAGCTCAGTGGCACTGTGCCTGCCTCGAAAGCGCAAGGTTCTGAGTTTGAGCCCTGGTATCAAAA